GGATATGAACTACCTCGTCTCAGCGAGCGAGTTTTGGGTGTGATCTTCGACTTTGTCGGTGCAGTCATGGACGAAGACAACGTCCTCACGGTGATTGGAAACTCTGCAGGGCACATCAAAGCTTGCATCGAAATTCTTGGTCTACATTCTTCCGTGCACTGCGCCTCCTACGGGTGGCATCCGCAGCAGCTGAGCGCGGGAGAGTATGTGGCTGTCGTCAGTCGAGAGGTGAGTGCTAATTTGGATTTGATGTCAGAAGCTCGTCGGAGACCCCGACCGACGCAAGAGCACAAAGTCGCTCCTGACGAAGATGACGACTTGGGAGCGAGGGCTGAGTTTGTGGACGTGGGCGAGGTGGAAGACCGATCCGATCTCGATGTGGACGATTGCCCGATCAAACCTGAAGTCCAGTACCAACCTCGCCTGCGCGTGGATCAAAAAGATGTCTTGGGCTTGGCGCACAGATTGAATGTGAAAACCAGCGGTCCAGGCAGAACCAGTTCCAGCACCAAGCGTTCGGCTGAGTTCGTGAAGCAATATGCTACGAAATATGAGGAACTGCAGCAGCCACGCTCTTGTCTGCGCGGGCGTGAAATCGATTCGAAGACGTCTACCACCCAAGAAGTGTTGAGTGGCCTGCAACAGCAAAAAGCACTCCAGGAGTCTCGCAAGGATGCGGAACTGGGTCAAGCACATGACACAGACGATGAATGCGTTGACATCTCTACACGAGACGTTGAGGCCGGCTTGGCCCCTGTGGCAGCGGTGTTGACTTTGTCTCCGGCTGAGAAAGCTTTGCAGCTGGTGCAGCAGAAGCTACCTGTGCTTCAGTCCACTCACCAAGACGGAGCAGAGTATGCAATCTCTCCAGATCAGTACAATGCTGTGATCCTCGCCATCGCGCCCTTGCAGCGCCTGTGGAACAAAGCCAACGAAGCTGGACTGGCTCACTGCTTCGGAGATCGCACTCGACTTGACCCGTTGTTGGCTTTGGTTGAGAAGGATTATGGAGTCCAAAATTTCGCGTGCCCACGCGCTTCCATCGGCGGAACTAAATGTCTAATTAATGACATAAACATAGCTTGTAGCAAGGATACATGATTTTTGTATTTTACATAGAGAATGTACGACTTCATTTGCGCAATGATCACACCCCGTTGGCGAAATATAGATTTTGGATTAGGTTGTTGCGTGTTCCTTTTGCTCGTGAGCCCACGTAGGACATGGTGGCGCGTATTTTTGTACATGGACCTGGAGGGAGCGGCAAAACTTTCATGCTGAAAGAAGTCATCCTCCCGGTCTACAACGAGTTTCTACCTGGGACCACCCGAGGGGTCGCTGCCCAAAACTCTGCCGCTCGACTCATAGGAGGAAGCACGTTCCACCATATGGCTGGTCTCACACGGGCGCAAGAGCTGTTGCTGCAAAAGCCCTCTAAGACCAAGAAGGAGGCTTTGCAGCGTAAGTGGTGGCGGCTTTCGCTGGTGTTTGTTGATGAGATTAGCTTGACTGCACCGAATTTGTTGGCAGTGCTACACGGATCGGCCTGCTATGGTCGTTTCGACCTTTCTCCGGGGGATTTTCTGAGCAACATTTTCGGCAATGTCTTGTGTCAGATTTTGGCTGGTGACTTCTTGCAGTTGAACCCCGTGCGAGCCAGATCCCTCATGGAAGCCTTCGGCATTGAAGTGCCGGGGGCGCCGCGATACGAGAAGATGGACGACCAACAGCGCAGGAAGAAAGTCGACATCGATGAACATGGACTTGCAGTCTTTCGCGCCTTTCTGAAACAGGTCATCTTGTTCAGAGGCTCTCACCGCTTTCGGAAAGGAGATCCGTTGGCCGAGCTCTTGGAGACGATGCGAGTGGTCGGGGGTCGTCCCTTGTCTACGGCTCTGAAGGAGCGACTGCGCCCACCGGGCCTCCAGGTTTCTTCGCGCGCGGTGTCTTCAGCGCAGTGAACTGGGACCAGGTGGCTCGTCTCCAGCAGTTGTGCGCATACGAGTCTGCTCGCGCGAGCTTTGGTGTTGCAGCTTTCCGCAACACCCAGACTGGACGTCCCCAGCTGATTCGTCGACACTTTCCGACGTATCTTTCGAGGTCCTTTCAGTCTCGCTTCGGAGCGGTCTTCGCCAAGCAGGAATCCTTCTTGACGTCGTTGCTACATGACAAAGGTCGTCTGCTCTACTACGTTCAAGCAGTGGATTTGGTGCATCAAAGTGAGTTCACCAACGATAAATCCATTCTGCGCGAGATTCTGGGCTTGACCAACATGGCAAGTAAAACTGGCAACCTCATGTCGTTTCTACCGCTGCACTTGGGCTTGAAGGTGAAGGTGACGAAGAAACTCTTGCCACCAGAAATCGTGCAAGAGTGTCCGGCCGAGGTGATCGCCATTCAATTTCATCCCAACGAACGCTTTGGCGTGCCTGGCGCGCCCGCCGGTGGTGGAGTCCCCGCGGGATCGCATCCGTGCTGGGAGACTGGATATGTTCGCCTGGACTATCTCCCTGCCTCGATTACCTTGCGTATTGAGGCCTGGGTGTGCAACTAAATATAGTCTGATATACGCGGATGTGGCTGAAGACAAGTGTCCTGCATAGTTTGTGAACATCGGTTTTTAGACAGTTTAATCTAACCTTCTGTAGGACCCATGTATCTCTGAGTCACACCTGACTTGCAACAGGATCAGCAAGAAGATTATACTGGACAGCTTCTGCCTGGAGTGTGGCATTTAGAACCGAGTGAAGATTCTTTCCGCGTGCAATTGCATCGCAAAGGAGCCTTGATGTTGGATGTTACTCGGATACAGTATCCTCTTGCTCCGCTGGCTGCTGGAACCTACAACAATGCCCAAGGCAAGACCATCAAAGGAGTTGGGCACCCGATTGATTTTTCGAAACCAGATTATTTTTCGGCAGACGATTATACGCAGCACTTGTACATGATTCTTGGACGCGCTCAAGCTCTCGAGTATTCCTTATTTCGCAATTTACCGGAGACGCCAGAAGGCGATATTGATTTTTCAATCTTTGAGACTGGTCCACCTGCGTATATTGCCGAGTTTTTGGATCGACTGGAGGACTCTGATGTGCTTGTTGGCTTGTTTAATGTGCTATATGTTGGATATCCACGGACTGATTCACACTGCTCGAGTGATAACATATGAAATAGCCACGAGTCATACCATCCGCAACCGCGCGTGTGTCGATCTTGTATCATTGTTTGCAGGAGGTTGCGCTTTTGTCTCGCTCCGCAATCGAAGAAGCTCGCAGACATCTGCCTGGTTTTCCAGCCGCGGAACACCTACCGCGACCGACCCGCAGAACACCAGAGGGTCGCTTTCAGTACGTCCCAGGGGCTTGGACGGCGGCTACGAGGGCGAGTGTAGTGACTGAGTTCAGGGGAACCAAAAGGAAGTACGACCCCACCAAGTGGCGTCAGCTGCGAACGGATTTCTGCGACATCTGGTCTCTTGTGCTGGAAGAGGTGGCCACTCCCACGGCACAATTTTTCCGAGAACACGGGGCTCTGCGTGTCTTTGCCGCCGAAGCTGGTGGAGGCGGCGATTGCTTCTTCTTGTCCACTGCGGTCGTCCTGATGCAGGCGCGAGCGGTCCACCCACGACTCTTGAATCTTTTCACTTCCGATGAAGTGACTGACTGGGACGACCGAACTACGGTCGCGGCTGCTCTCCGCAAGATTGTCGGGCAACACATGCGCGCCAAGACGCCAAAAGCATTCTTGAACTTCGTCGTCGGGTGTTTGGTGCGCGAAGCTGCGAGGACATGGCTGGACGACTGGTCCATGATCGCACTCTTGCGTGGCTCTCCTTTTGCTTTCTTGAAAGACGCCAACGATGTCCTCGGAGCAGAAGTTGTAGACGACGCCATGCTAGTTCGCTACAAAGAGGGCGACAGCTCCGTGACGAGGAGCAAGAGAGTGCGTTCTGGCACTGCGGCCCTGGTGTCTTTGCAGCATGCCGTGAGTGCTGCTCTCGAAACTTGTGGGAATACTCATTGGGCAACAGACGTCGACTTTGTTGCGTTGGCCACGGAGCTCAATCTTGGCTTCATCATTGCTGGAAATACTTGGACCCAGACGTCTGTTGTTCGAGGCCCCGGTGACACATCTAACAAACGCGTGTGCGATAAATCCATACGAATGTTGGACTAATGACATAACCTATAGGATAGTTTTCTTCACTTCCGTTGTGTGTGTCTCATATACTTCTTGTCGATGCAGGCGAACCACAACAACGCACGGTCTTACACTCCTATTTACAAGAAGATCAGACGCCGCAGTTGTGGATTTCTCTGTATTATGTGGACGGTTATCATTTTCAAGTGCTTATTTTCGAGATTTTGGGACAATGCCATTGTTTCTTTCGTGCCGCGGATCTGCCAGAACCTTTACGCCAGTGCTTGATTTGAATGCAAAACAAAGACCCTTCATGATGAAGACGGAGCTTGGTGGTGAAGTCCCCAGCGCATGCTGCCTTGGTGGTGGAGTCCCCAGCGCATGATGTCCAACAGCGTGCCAGAGAGTGAAAAAGAGATTCTGACCGGCTGTGTCTCTTTTTATACGCAGTGGTTTGACGTATGTGTTTGCATTCGGGTTCGTGGGCTCCATCTTGTTTTTTTTCGGATAGAAGCACATGGAAGATCCTGTATAGAACGGTACATTATTTGTGTTTCATGTTAGTTCCTTACTGCTATAGATTCTTCAGGTTCCACCGGTTGTCCTGAGTAATTGAATCAAAACAAGAGCTGCTTGGATCCGGGATCCTTTTGTCATCCACACGAAGGCACGTTTCTTACCCTAGAAGTGGGGACCCACAACTGCGTGCGCAAGTGTTTTGAGGTGATTATATTTTGATGGACACGTTGGACACTCCGAATACTTTATGAAACTACTTTGGGCCTCCAAGTACCTCTTGCCTCACAGAACAGAACAGGGCGCTCCCAGTCCGGTCGCCGTCCATCCACGGCGCCTTTGAGGCCGCTTTCCGGTGCTGCTCTGCCGTCGCACAGCCGGTTCGCCCTGGTGACACGTGGCGTCCGGCGTTGACGCGGTTCCGATTCAGTTTGACGCGAGAAGTCCATGACCTCGAATTGGAGTCTCTGTTTGTGACCTCTTTAGGGACTAAGTGACCTCATTCTAAGATATCACAAGGTCACTTTGAAGGTCCTGGTATAGCTTTTCATGAAGGAAGTTCGTTTTTGCGGCTGAAGAACACAATGTGTTATTTCAACCCCCAGCTTCACTGGGGCAGACCATCACCGCGATGACCCAAAGTGGGCTGCAGGCAGGGCACCCGTTCGAAAAAATATGAACCACTGCTAGCTGCTAGCCATACTATGAGCATCTACCAGGAGACCCCGTTTGGGGTATTGTGTGGCGTGTGTACCCTTGTTGGGGTGGTTCATGGACACCCCTTACCACCAATTGGAATCCCAAACGGGGTCTCCTGGTATGAGCCTTCAGCGCCTAAGATATGTATATATATATATAGAATGGTGCCACAGACTTTTGATCGGTCATCTCCCATCTGAACACAGACGTCATGGCGGTTCTTTTCCTTTTTTCCATGCAGATTCATCTTTTGGGTGGTCCAATCCGGAAAAGCAAGAAGACCAGCTGATCCGACTGAAGAAAAACATACACTGGAGCTCATCAATTGCGATGAGACCCGGCGATGTGGTTGGCCCTTTCGCACCGCCCTAGGTGAAGATTTTCGTGATGGGCCAGCAATTGGAGGACGCGATCGAAAAGTGAGGGGGAAGCGAGGCATCCAAGTGGAATCACAAAGTTGTTTTTTTCTAGCACCACCCATTTGGGGGCGTATACTCAAGTGTGTCGGTGTGTCTAAAAAGCATTAAAACACAACCCTTTCAGGAGTTCAAAGGGAATTCCAGAATTTCTGTGATGTTTCTTCCAGTTGCTTTTCTAACACCGTTTCAGGGTTTAGGGCCAGGTTCTCAAAACGAGACCACGACAGTTGCCAAAGCAGATTTGATCCTAGATCCTGACAAGCAGATAATCCCTAGATGTCCAGCTCGGCGATGTTTTGCCTCAACTCGGGACCCGCAATCACTCGCTTTTATCGTCTTGGACTCCAGGACGACTTCCAACCCCTCTTCCATTTGCGTGGGATCTACGTCACTTGGCGGAGTCGGGCACAAGCGACAGATGAACGTGGCAGGTGATCGTGGCAACTCCAAATCCCAAAGACATGGTGGTGTGAGTTGTTTTGCCTATATAGAGGGGTTTGGAGTTTTTGTGCATCAAAAGTAGTGAGTTGTTTTGGGCTACTGTCGGGCGTCCAGGTACTTTATTGGATGAATCTATACGTATGTAGCTATGCAATCCTCTAGGCAAAACAAACAGGAGGCTAAAAGGTGTTAAAAGGATCGAACGAGGAATTGCTCTGGAAAGAGGAATTGTTATTTTTTTTCCTCAAACAGTGTGTCCACACTGAGGGGTTCTTATGATAGGTGTAAGAGCCCAGGTTCGATCAGGGTGCTCTCTCTGTCCTGGGCGCGTTTCCTGCGAAACGCGGGCCGTGAGACGGAGCTTGACGGAGGTGCGCTCTCGTTGTGGTGCCGTGCGCATTTTCGGACATGGGAAAGTCACTTTTCGTGGCAGGCGCAAGGGAAACCTCGTGTTCTGGTGGTCCAAAGTTGACTCGCGTGACAGGTGCAAGGGATCGCAGCGGTGTGAAATCGAAATGCAGATTTCGTGGCAGGCGCAGCACTTGGGATATGGTGGTGATCTTCGACGGGCTCTAATTTCGTGACAGGTGCAGTGAATCGTGACTTTTCTACATATGGCTCGTTTTCAGAAATCGGGGGAAGTCTCGCGCGAAAGCTGCGCTTTGGCATTTGGATGTTGTGTTTGGAAGCGTTCTTGCGGCGAAACACCGTGGCTACGGCAGTGTGAATCTTGAAGTGCAGATTTTGTGGCAGGCGCAGCACTTTGTGAACTTCAAAGTAAAGACTTCATGGCAGGCGCTTCACTTTGTGACTTTGTGCACCTCGACGCTCTCGATCTCAAGACCTCTAGATCGCACTCTGTGCTATCTGACGCGTGCTCTCAGATGTGTGTTCTGATGATTGTGCTCTCATATGTATGCACTCTAGACCTCGACCTCTAGATCTCCAGGCCTCTCAAACTCTTAGCCTCGAGACTACTATTGTTGCTTCTAGGCCTACTCTTCCCCTGTGATCGTGGGTGCTTTACCTCGGACGACTTTTCCCTCCGCTTTCTGTTCCCCTGTGATCGTGGGTGCTCCACCTCGGACTCGTCCTTTATCGTTTGAATAGCCAACAGGCCAACATAGGTTGAAGGAGCCGACTTTTCGGCTATCCCATACAAGTATACCAGGTTCAGGTCACAAAAACATCCCTTGGAGGTGGTGCTCTTGGATTCTTGGTCGCCGGACCACACGTCGGGCCTTTCTCCGTGCTCGGCTTCCGACATGTCGACGTGCACCGGTGTGGAGCGAGCCTCGCAACTCGCTCCATACCGTGGTTCACTCAAAGATCCATTCAAATGGGAAGAGTTACATCAATTTACTATAATTGACCCGATCTCAGTTTCAGGTATTGCTATTCCATATACATGGACGGTCTGGGTCCAATCACGGACTCAAAAGTCACTGTGACGCAAATAAGAGTCGAACTGCTGTTGATTTTCAGGAACTCGATCTTCTCCATGTGTTCTTTTGCAAACAAGGGATGGATCCAAATTCAGCTCGCTAGCTGGCTCCGTGATGTTTCAGCTTGTCAAGTTCAACTTAGACCTGGGACGATCCTTGAAGACTTAGTCACCTACAGTATACATACTGAAGCGGAACTTCTTTCCAACTGGTTTCCATCCCAGAATTGGGTATGTATATAACGTATATATATATATATATATATATATATTTCAAGGCTTACGCCTAACAGCCGGGCGCCGGCCCACTTGGGTGTGTGGGGCGTATGTCACGCCTATGTTGGCCTTGGTGGGGCCTATATTGAGCAAAGTTGAGCTATCTGGTGCGCATCTTGGCCCTAGGTTGGGCCACGTGGGGCCCATGTGGTGTATGTTGGGCACATCGTGGGCCCATGTTGAGCCTATGTTGGGCCTATGTTGGCCTATGTTAGGCCTATGTTGGCCTATGTTGGCCTGGGTTGGGCCTATGTTGGGCCTATGTTGGCGTCTGTTGGCCCCAAGTTGG